ATTAAGTGGGGTCCTTTTATTCCTTAAAGGGCCTCCTTACCCTTAGGCTAGTGCTTTATATGGACCTTTTTTACTATATACTTTAGGTATCTATTCTCTAGGTACTTGTACTATGGGCGTCCTATAACGCATTCTAGTGGGAGCAGCGGCCTAGGTGCTAGAATTAAGTAACCTCTATATTTCCTATTAGGATGCCAACCATATACTTCTTCTTATAAAATGATATCTATGTAGGGGTTATTATAGACTTAGGTAAAGAAGGCCTTATACTTCCTCTTAGGTGCTAGGTACATTTTATATTCTAATATAATACATAATACCCATGCTATTTCATAGTGGGCGGGGTAAAGCTAGGAGGTCTAAGGGTTATTACCCTAGACCTTCTTTAGTCCTTTGCTCATAGGTTCTTCGTTAACTAGTATCTAGTATTTAACTAGTATCTATAGGGTATGGGCTTCATTAATCTATTTAATGTTATAGGTAATCTATGCCTATTCCTAGTTACTTAGCACTTTAGTGGCCAGGACCTTGTTTTGTTTAATCTATTTCTGGAAGTCCATGAACTTTGTATTTTAGGGATACTTGGTTCTCTAATCCTTATATACTTCGTAGATTATCTCTCCTAGACCTTCCTTATTAAAGAACCTTAAGTTCTTAATCATTTCTTAGGCGCCTTTAAATATCCTTGGCCTTACTACTTCCTAGGCTGGCCCTATTGGTTAGAAGTACTCGGTTCCTCCTATATAGATATTCTTGTTTGGCGACAATGGCTTATCCTTGGCTAGAGAGGAAGAGAAGATTTCATCTTCCCTAAATGTAGACTAAGATGGAGTGTTAATAGATTTATTAGAATTGCTTTCTAGTTCGTTATCTAAGTCCTCTATAGTAGTTTTATAATACTTAGGGAACTAAGCATCTTGCTCATCCTCTAGTTCTTCCATAGTTAGATATTTATGGGTGGCCGTGAGTCTATCTTTAGGTGGCCAGTACCCTATATCCTTTTTTATCTTTATATATGACGTACACATATTATTAAAGTATTTAGCCTAATATAATACTTAATATTCTTAACTACTAGCCAGTTTCTCCTTAGGTTCTTCTATAGTTACCTTTTTTGGTTGTTCCCTAGATCCCTTCACGGACCAATCCTAACTCTTACTAGGGTAGTTC